TGATAAAATTTGACAGGTAAGGGAACTTTACTTTTCTTTCCTTCACCCACCAAAGCAAAAATGCCTAAGGCACTCAAACTTATAACCCTAATAACAGTTTATGATCAAAACCTCAGATGAGCAATGGGAATTCTTCAGGAGAAAATGTTCATAAGTGTTTTTTAAAATCATACATAACTGCTATATAAACAAACAGATTAACTAAAATAAGCATCTGATGTCTTCACGGATTCTACCAAGCACTTTATGGCTTGCATTAACCATGAAAATTTACACAAGGCTTTGCACGTGATTCAACTCTGGACACAGAACTCATTGAGACACGTTTATGTCCTAAAACACCCCCTTCACCACACAAGCTCTGAATAGGTTTAAAACAAGACAGCCTGTGGGTAGCACTGCAGAATTTGGAGCTAAGTTTTATTGTCCCTACCACGTTCAGCCAGCCATAGAGCAACAAATCAAAGTTCCAATATGCACACTGCACCTGCAAGACTTAGGTATGCTCCAAGTCAAATATTTGCAATTTTTTCATCCCAAATCTGCACAAATGAAAGTATGCAGGTCGCAGCACCAGACCTCTTGTCAGCCAAAATGATCTCTATTTCCCACATCAGCCGTGTCCTACTGTTTTTGAGTCCTTCAAACGGACATGTGCCAGGAACTGTGCTAGCAGCTTGCATGTATTATCTCTAATCCTTAAAACAAATCCCATTCTACTGTTGAGGTAAGTGAGGCCAGAGAGGTCAAGGTGATTTGCTCAATGCCGCAGAGTCAGTAACTGCTGGAGCTGATTCAAATCCTGCTCTGCCAGGCTCCGAAGGACCATCTCCCTGATCCTCCTTCAGCTAAATTCACTACCTGCAACACCGGTTCCCTCTATCGAAGTAAATTCAAGCGTTAACTGTCAGAAATGGTGACAACAGCTGAGAAGACTATCATACCTAAAGCTGGAGCACAAGACCCAAGAGTTCCCTGCCAGGAAATGCAGTCACCTCCTTTAGAATAACTAGTTCCAAAGGCTATGGTTCAAAATATAAGAGAATTCACAGGGGTTTTTGTTGTTGTTGTTGGCGGTCTCTTCACGGACTTTTTACAACAAGGGAAATGAAACGCAAGAGTATATTCACATTCTTGGTGAAATTATCTAAAACCCTTGAGTAAAGGGTGATTTTTTTTTTTTAAACAGTTCACTTTTACAGGTTACTTCTTTGACAGGCTCTAGACATTCAAAAACAAAATCAAATCAGTAGCATTACCAACCAACTTTTTTCTACAGACTTGAAAAGTATTTTCTTACCACACTACAAGATTACTTCCCATACTATGAGCAGAAATGGAAACAGCTCTGGGTGTCACGAATTACATCTTGAGGCCACAGTTGCAGAAAGTAGGTGCTGTTTCCCTTGAGTAGGAGCCGCTGATCTGAAACCTCCTAAGGGAAGGGTGTCTGAGGAAGAGTGCTGAAGAAACTAAAGCAAGCTGTTTATATTAATGAGGGAGCTGCTGGCCCCACTACTCCTTAAGTGTTTCACTGCCATGCAATTGTTTTCCAGCCTCCAAGCTCTGAATCTGGCAGACAGAATGCTGTTCTCACAGCCATACGTGTTCTATGATCAGCTGCTCTGTGGTGTGTGGGTGTTTAACTAGGTAAGGGACTGGTTAGAAGAGGTTCTGCAATATTAAATCAAGGAAGCACACTGTCCCCTGAGATTTTAGTGATCTGTCACTCTACGACGCTGACAAAGTAACATATTTGCAACATTGAAATGGTCTGGGTTTAGGATAGGCAAATAATTTCCGACAGTAAAGCTTCAGGCATGACATGAACAAAAAATATAACCTGTAATATAAGCCACTTCAAGCATGTTTATTAGATAATAAAAAATGCAATATTTGCCATCTCAGCATGCTTTCAAACTTCATAGGGTATACTGCCTAATTATTAGAATAAATGCTATTCTTCAGGTGTGTGGAACAGGTTCTATGCAAGATTCCAAGCCTCCCCCACCGCCTTCCAAAACAAGTTAATACCATGAATTGGGTAGCCTCTCAGAACCTCAAAAATGTAAAAAATAAATAAATAAAAGGTCTCAAAGGATTCTTCAAGTAAAAAATATTGTCAGAGCTGTAAGCTCCTGGAGAGCTGGGGACTATGTTTCTTTAATGTCACTGCCCATCACAACACCTATCACAAGTGGAATAAATCCCCCTTGGTTGAAATATAATCAAAAGGCAAAAGCTGGATGCAGAGTGATTTAAACAAGAATAGCTGATATTTATCCCCTGCTTGTTGATAGAATAGTGCAAAGTTCATCCCTTGTTCTAAATTCTAAACACGGGGACTGAATTCCCTAACTGCAATTAAGATCCTCCCATTAAAACAAAACTTTAAAATGGATGGTTCTGGTGGCAATGTCACCCTGAATAAAGACATGAAATCATATTTAATAAAGTTGAAAAAATCTGCACAGAGCAGGTGCTCTACTATGGGAATGACAAAGCCTTCTTTTAAGAAATCAAGTCAACCTCCATCAACACATCATGGATAGGTATCATGAAACAGACCACTGACTTTGCTGTTGAAATATGCTACATTTAGAAAACAGTGCAAGGAACATACATCATCAACTGGTCAAATTCAGACCAATTATTTTGACTCCAGTTTTAACTTTTTCTGAAATTCTCACATACATCTCCTTTTTACAGGAAGACAGGGAACGTAATGAAAGAACAAAACACAAGGATACATGTATCATCTACTTTGTTGCTTACTGCTCAGGACCAAAGTACTGTAATGCCAATCCTCAAGAAACAAAACAAAACACAAAACTCAAGTTCCTTTCACTTTTGCATAATAGAGATCTCAACCTGACTGTCCCAGGACTAGCTTCAAGAGGACTGTAATTGCATACAAAAATCATGAGCGTCTCTTTCACGAAAAAGAGGACCCTAAAGGCTTTCATGATTCTCAAAGAAAGGTTAAGAACCACTGAAGCAGACATTTCCAGAATCACTAAAACTCAGAGGTGATCATTTTAAACAAAATTATACTAAAGGTAGTATCTATTAGAATACATGTGCACAGTCCTGATACAGGACTGTGCAGGTGACCTCTCTCAAATCAGCCCTAGGCGGGAACATCCCTTGCATTCGTTGCACACACATGCTAGCCACAGCAGCCCGTCATTCCTTAAGCATACACATGTTGTCAACAAAGCATGTGCTAGTTGCCATTCCCAGAACAATACACAGGCCTGGCCATCTCTGGGGAAAAAAAAAAAAATACACATTCTTCCCAAAACACCACCCTATGTAGTTACTATGCCTTGACGACCGATCTTACATATTAAAACAAAATAAATGGAAATGCCCACACACATGTATCTAATCGACTGAGGAAAAAAGCATCACTCAGGTATTATTCAGGGCACACCGGAGATGCAGATCAGGAAAACACTATGATAACGATGCTTGAACATGGGGACCATCACAGACTCACGCAGGAACATCCTGAGAACATGGTTGTGGAAAGAACCCCTCTCCAAAAGCAAAAGCAAAAGCACATTCCTTTGATTGGCACAAGCTATTCCTGACAATGGATCCGCAATGACAGGGGCTGCTCTGGCAATCAGGAAGAGAGAGAGAGAGAGAGAGAGAGAGAGAGTGTGTGTGTGTGTGTGTGTGTGTGTGTGTGTGTGTGTGTGGTGGGGGAGGGATGTACTTAAATGTGATCAAAGACTGGCCCTCTTCAAAGAAGAGCATATGGGATCTCAAATCGTGAAGACAGACTTCGAGGGTGAGGCAGGGGCATTTATCATTTCTACAGGAGACATCCCTCGACAATGAACATGTTATGTGCAGATGTAACGGGGGTGTCACTACCTTTAGCGTCTCCCATCTAAGAATCTTCAGTAGAGCCTGATTGGAGGGGAGGAGGAGGTGGGGGTGGAGAAAGGTCTGCATTACCCTCTGGGGTGAGTGTTGGGCGGGTGTACATTGGATGCATTTTATCTCGAGCGGCACAATACTCCCAGGGGTTGGAGGTTTGGGCGCAACCGCAGGGCCCGGGAGGCAATGGGTGCACGCCACCAGCTGCAGGGCAGGGGAATGCTCGCTGGAGGACCGGGGCAAACCTCTCCTTCGGCCCGCTAACCCAGGCAACCCCAGCCTCCCCTCGGGCCTCGGGGCGAGCGGGCTCTCTGCAAAACTGGAGCCCGGCCCGGGTCCGGGAGCGAGGGGCCGAAGGAGCAGAAGCGGGCGCCCCCGGCCCGAGCTCGCGGCCAGAGGAGCGCAGCGCCCCGGGCCTCCCCGCCGGATGGGGGCTGCTCCGGCCTAGTGCACGCAGCTGCCTCGGCGAAGGGTTAACCCGGCGCCCGAGCCCCGGCCGGCCCGGCGGGCAGCGGAGAGGAAGGGCTGCTGCAAGGGGCGCAGCCGCGACTGTGGCGTGTGCGTGGGGGGCAGGGGCCCCTACTC